CTTCAGCCCAAAGCAACCGCTAATGTACTTTCTATCTCTATAAATGTGTCTATTCTGCATATTTCATATAAATTGAATTACAGAGTATGTGGTCTTTTGTGTCCATCCATCTTCTTTCTCTTAGGAAAATGTTTTCGAAGTTCACCTGTGTTGTAGCATGTAGCACTTCATTCACTTGTACCTGACTGAGATTCCAATGAATGCAAATACTGTATTTTTTGCCATTTAATCATTTTTTATTTTTCAATTACAGTTGACATACAATATTATATTAGTTTCAGGTATATACTCCAGGGATTAGACATTATATAACTTATTAAGCGATCATCTTGATAAATCTCATACCCATCTGACATCCTACAGAGTATTTAGAATATTATTGAGTATAGTCCCTTTGCTGTACTTGGCATCCCCATAACTATTCTGTAACTACCAATTTGCACTTTTTAATCCCTTCGCCTTTTTCACTCAATCCCCCAACCCTTCTCCCATCTGGCAACCATCAAAATGTCCCTGTGTCTGTGGTCTGTTTCTTTTCTGCTTGTTCTTTCGACTTTTAGATTCCATTGTTGATAGATATGTATTTATTGCCATTTTATTGTTGGTATTTTTCTTATAATACTGGTTTGGTGGTGATGAACTGCTTTAGCTTTTTGTCTGTGAAGCTCTTCATCTGTTCCTCCATTCTAAATGATAGCTTTGCTGGGTAGAGTAATTTTGGTTGTAGGTCCTTGCTTTTTATCACTTTGCATATTTCTTGCCACTCTCTTCAGGAATGAAAGTTTCTGTTGAGAAATCAGCTCACAGTCTTATAGGAGCTCCCCTGTAGGTAACTAACTACTTTTCTCTTGCTGCTTTTAAGATTCTCTTTTTGTCTTTAACCTTCTTCATTTTAATTATGATGTGCCAGGGCCTCTTTGGGTTCATCTTGTTTGGGACTCTGCGCTTTCTGGTCAGGTAAGTTTTCTATCATTTTTTCAAAAAGGTTTTCAATTTCTTGCTCTCTTCTCCCTCTAGAAGCCCCATGATGTAAATATTGGTACATCTGAAGTTGTCCCAGAGGCTCCTTACACTCTTTTTTTTATTATTCTTTTTTTCTTTTTGTTGTTTTCACTGGGTGTTTTTACTTCCTAATACTACAAATTGCTGGATTAATTTTCATTCATCTACTCTACTGTTGATTCCCTACAAATTATTCTTCATTTAAATGAGTGTATCCTCCACTTTTGACTGGTCATTTTTTATGGTTTCTATGTTCTTTTTCATGCTGTTGAAGTTCTCATTAAGGTCCTTGAGCAACCTTATAACCATTGTTTTGAACTCTTGTTCTTGTGGTTTGCTTGCCTCCATTTCATTTAGTTCTTTTTCTGCATATTTCTCCTGCTCTTTCATTTGGGATCTGTTTCTTTGTCTCCACATTTTGCCTGCTTCCCTAAATTTGTTTCTATCGTTAGGTAGAGCTGCTATGTCTCCCAACTTGGTAGAGTGGCCTTGTATAGTAGGAGTCCTCTATGGCCCAGTGGTGTAGCCTCCCCAGTCACCCAAGCTGGGTATACCAGGTACACCTCCGTGTGGACTATGTGGACTATCCTGTTGTAGTCGAGCCTTGATTGTTGTTGGTGTCACTGGGAGGGACTGACCTCCCAGGCCAATTGGCTATGAGGACCAGCTGCAAGTACAGCAGAAGAGCTACTGTACAGGAGGCAACCCTATAGAACAGGACTTGCATCAGTGGGGTATTGGTGCTCATCAAGTCTGCCCCATGAGTGTGTCACTCGTGGAGGTGGTAGGGTTATAATCCAGCATGGTCTGAAGCTGTCCACCTAGTACACTTGTTCTGGGGCCTCCTGGGAGGTACAAGGTCAGCCACCATCTGTGGCCTGCCTATGGTCATTCGGCATGAGCTACAGAGCAATCTGTAGATGGCTGCTACTTGTGCTGGGCTTGCAGGTGCCCAAGAGAGGCCAAGCTGTGAACCAAGGCCAGCTGCTGCTAGAGCTGGGACTAGGGGCACTTAGGAAAAGGTACAGGGCATGCCAAGATCAGATGCTGCTTGTCTGCAATTTTTCAGCCTTTGAGAGATTTTAGGAAAGTCCACAGCAAGAGCCAAGACAAGGAGTTTGTATGGAAAAGCTGGAAATGGCTTCAGTGAGTCCACAAATTGGTTAGTGCAAGATCTCAGGGAATCACCAGGATGGGGCAGTGTATCAGGTTAATGGAGACTCAGATCTGCACCCCCCACCCCCACTGGCTTTTTGGGAGTTGGAGAGATGTCTCAGAAAAGAAACAATGGCCTCTGTCAGCACTTTTTGTCTGGCAGAAAGCTTCCCCTAGAGCTTTCACCCAGATACAAGATAATTCAGTCCTTCTCGGTATGTCCCTGGTGCCTTTTGAGCTGCTGCCCCAGTGCTGGAGCTCAGAGGAAGCAAGTACAAGTAAGTCTGTGCACTGGCCCTTTAAGAGGAACTGCCTGAGACTCCAGAAGCCTCTGTCTCACTTGGCCACAGTCCCTGCTGGTTTTACAGGCAGAAGTTATGGGAATTCTCTTCCTGGCACTAGAACCCAGTCTGGGGGCTTGGTGTGAGGCTGGGATTCTTTGTTCCTCCGGAGGACCACCACAGTCCAGATATCCTCCTGAATTTTATCCAGCACATGTGAGTGTGGGATCAGCACATTCTCAGGCTCCACCCCTCCTACCAGTCTTGATGTGGCTGCTTCTTTAAATCCATAGCTGTAGGACTTCCATGTAGCTAGGTTTCAGGTGATTCTGAATGACAGCTGTTTTGTAATTGAGTTGTGATTCCCATGTGGTCGTGGGAGGATTCAAGTACCACATTTACCTCTGCCACCACCTTGACTAGAAGTCCATATACGGCATTTTATTTATCCATTCATCAGTTGATGGACATTTGGGTTGTTTCCACTTTTTGACTCCAATCAATAATGCAGCTATGAACATTTGTAAACAAGTTCTTGTATGGACATATGGTTTTATTTCTCCGAACTACATATGTACTTTGGCATGGAACTGCTGGCTCATATGGTTCAAATGATTTTTAAAAACTGTTTGCGTGAATGCAATGATGTATCTCTACAGTCATATGGGAAGAAGGTGAGAGAGATTTAGTATTTCTCCATCCTCATCTTACCACCCATGAACACACTTTCATTTTCTCTGCCATGGCCCTCTGCTCCGATGTCCTCTGTACTCCTCTGTTCACATCAAATACTCAGATCCTTGACGTAAGGGCAGCTCGGAGCCAGATGAAATTTCCAGAGAACACTTATCCCATCTTGTTTTCAGGCAGGACTACAACCATCTCATTTTTAAAAGTCCCCCAAGAAGGAAAGGACACAGTTTCCCTCAGTTGCCTAGTCTCGGGAACAGCTTCACATCACAAACTCAAAATCATACACATAGGATACGAATACTGGAGGGAGAAGAATAATGGTCAGGTTGTTAAACAAGCTTTAGAGACCACCCACAGGCCCGTTCTTTACTTCCTCACTGAACACACTGACCCCTGACGCCACCTAATTTTATGTACTACCATGGCCTAAAATGAACTCCATTTTATCTAACCTGGTAAAGACAACTGTGGGAGAGTACTGCTGTCCTTCCTTGAGTTATTTTTCTTTTGCTTCAATACTCTTACTGGAATCTGTTTTCAGAATCAACAACCGTACCACACAATTTAACACCCAGAATGTTCTGCTGTTGCTGCTCTGTGATAGCTCAAACTTTCTCTTCTTTCTTGCTTCCTCTGAGAAGCATATATAAAATGAGTAATTACTGCTGCTACAGAATCGCTGGAGTCAGCAACACTTCCTAAGAACTGCATTTCCTCCTCTCCTCCTTCCCCGCCCACCACAGATTCTCCCCCATAAGTTAAGAATTAAAGACATATTACTGGGATAAAGAAATCTGACCTGAAATATGTGTTGCAGCTACAATGGCAAGCAACCAAAAGTATTAACAATAATTTCCAATGTAGCTGGAAAGGTTAGATGATTTTTCTTTGAAATGAGCCAACTTTGCACACTTTCGTAAGATTAAAATCTGCTTGTTTTTCCTTCTGGACACCTCCCCTCTCCTATTTCTACTACCCCTAAAAGGCAGAGTTGTTTATGCACATAAACAAATGGTTCCGGAAATTAAGTTTCTTGACGAGAGGAAAACTCAAAGGTAAATTCTGTTCTGCGTTGGTTTTCCTATACTTCACTGTGATCAGAATTTTGAGTGATAACATTTATGACACACAAAAGCTTAGAAACAGAAAGAATAACAACTCCGTGTTATCTCTGACTCACAATCTAGATAATTTCTGGACCACCAACCTTGGGCCAGTGAGTTATCTGTATACCTGTCTGCCACCTGTGAAATGAAGATAATAATAGCACTTCATGGAATAAATGTATAAGTGCTTCAAAGAGTGCTGAGGACAGAGTAAATGCTGAGTCACTATGAGCTTGGATCACCATCATCGCCACCAAGACACCACCATCTTCCACAGCTGCCTGGGGAGCGTAAGAAGCTACCCCTGGGGCTTTCCAAGCAAACACAGATACCGCCCTCTTTATTCCAGAGTGCTCCCAACCCATCTAGCAGGACCCAGAGGTTCACAGGACAAAGCAATTCAAGAAGAAAGACAGGGCACAGAAGAAGGTGGGAAAGACAATTACAATTACAAAGAAATGGCACCTAATTTTGTTTTTTCATAGCCCTGTTTAAAAGATGAAATTCTTAAGAAAACTCTTTCCAATACAAGGGGCCAGAAAAGTTTAAAAGCCAAAAAGTCACCAGAGAAAGAAGTCCTAGAGTTGCCCAGTCCAGAGAACAATCTGTTATTTACAATCCTTCTCTCTCAAGTGTACGTAGTATCCTCCTCCCCACGCATGTTCACGTTAGACCCAGAATGGAAGGAAAGTACTCTTTGTTCAGAATAGAGTCCTTAAAAACTTAGAGGGGCAGTGGACAGAAAGCTGGCACCTGTGCCTACCTCTCTCTGTGGCTGGCCAGGCCCCTGGTCGGCGGTCCGGAGGTTCAGGACGTGCACCTCCTGCGGCAGCCCCGTCGTGCCTCTGCTGGCGCAGCCCGACAGGACGGTGAAGCTCTCCATCAAGGCCTGGACCGGATGGGATGCGTTGACAGGTGACAGTTCACACGGGGCGCCGGGCTCTGGACCTGCTGAGGGAATCACAAACACGAACCCCTCAGAGACCACAATCAACTGCACCGCAACTGAATTTCGTTGTGCTGGACAGTCAAGCCACTGCCGGCCTGCCCAAGGGGTCTTTCCAGGAAAGTTGCTGCTGGAACTAAATGGCAAAAAGCTGGCCTATTCTTCTACAACTACAATCTCTTCAATTCCTTTTGGACAATGTTGATGTGTATTAATTAAGTTCCCTTTTAGATGCTCGAGTCATGAATGTATTCCTCTGGATGGAGAAAACCTCCCATTTGATATCTGTGTTTAATTCTTCCTTCCTCTCTTAGAAGAAAACTAGAGATAAATTAAATAAATAGCCTAAAGGTCCAATAATATTATGCATAAATAATATTAAACACCTGAAATTACACCAAAAAAGTATAAGATAAAGTCCCTACCTTTCAAGTGCTTCTGCTACTTGTCTTAGACAAAGCAAAACAAATTTAAGAGCAATACAAAGTAAGTTGCAATGCGTAGAGAGGCAAATGGTACCAGAATTGTAGAGCAAAGTTTGGACCAAAGGTGAGCAAATTCTCCCAAGAGAGGCAGGATGTGAGCAAAGCCTCAAAAAGAACAAACAGAACATTGGTCATACTCGGCTGCTGCTTCCTCATTCTCCTCCTCAATCAGACCTTAAATTCTAAGTCCATCCATTCGTCCTTCCCTTTACCTCCTGCAGCTCTCCTTGTCTCTGTCTCTAGCAACTGCAGATCTTTCTTAAAAAAGGCTCAGGTGTCAAGCTCTCCAAGCCACCTTCTATGGAAGCACTGTCCATCTGACCCGGGAGTGTCCACTGAACCATGATTCCTAGTGCAAACGCCTACTCCTCCCGTGTCCCAAGCCTGTCCTGTCCCTGGAGAACAGCTGACCTTGTGAATAAAGCCTGAACTCCCTAACCTAGCACCGGGCCTGTCTTAATCTAACCCCTTCCCATCTCTCCACCCTCACCCCTCCCCAGCCAGGAAGTAATACCAACTAGCTTAAAGGTCTCCAAATAAACCATGATACTCAAATCCATGCCTTTATTCAAACGTGTTCCCTTTACCCAGATTTCTCTTCCATTGTAACTCCCACCCCACAACAAACATCCCAGACTAAGGGAGGTATTCTTTGTCTGTCCTCTTATGATAGCTCTGCCCAGCTCTGCTGATTCATTTTCCACAGTGTAACCAGCACTGTGGACATCTGTCTTTGCCAGTCCTGTGCGGCCTCCTAATGCCTGTGAATTACTCATCTCTATATCCTCAGCACCCATCACGGTGCCTGGCTCAAAATATATATTTGTTAAATGAATCAGTGAACTTAAGAAAAAAAATGTCCCTTTCTGATCAGTGATTAGGGCACCATTCCGGGTACTTGGGTTTGACTCTAAGGGACTGAGATGGGAAACAGTGGCGACTGCTCCAGTGATGTGAGGTACGGCCCCCCCACACTGCAGCCTCATCGCGCACAGGCTGGATTGACGGAGAGGCAATCCAGGAGTCCTCTCCCAGGAAGGAGGAGGAGCCTTCAATACTTCAACCTCACACACCTCTGCGGGCTTGGTGCTATCTCCATTTGATAGTCGGGGAGGCTGGGACTTGAATATACAGAGTCTATTAAACCTCAACCTTCCAAATGGAACCCAGTAAAAAACCTGAGTACACCCCAATCAGTTCTTCCTGACTTCTACATAATAGAGATCCTCTCCAGGAAAACAGCTCTGGTCTGAAGTGCAAGTGTAGTTCAGAACCAGGCAGTCTTCCACACCCTCTGCTACACCCTAGGCAGACGTCCTGCATGGTAAGCTAAGTCTATTTCAGAACTCATGGAAATTATCTAGGCTGCTAATAGTTATCTGTTCTGAAATGAGGAATGTGCCTTCCCAAATAATCACGGCCACCCTTTGTACTGCAGTACTGTGCCCAGCTGTTTTCTAAGGTAGGTTGTGAGGAAAGGTGTCGCAGCAGCAAACACAGATGGTACTGATGCACAATTCCTTCAGGTCCCCCATGCAAGTAACACAGTACGAGCAGGTGTGCACCGTGCTGCCCCCCATCCTGCCTTCACTAGCCACAGTGGGGTGTCCGGTGCATTTCATACCCCAGAGCCCCGGAGACAGTCTCCTACTACTACTCAAACCTGGGAACACACAGCGATTATCACTACCCACACAGGAAAACACTTGAATTGGTTTCATAGCTTCCTGCCATGAATTTGCCATTATCACAGATTTAGCACGAATAAAAGGTACTTTTCAGTTCTATTTTTGTATGTACGTGCAGAACTCTGGCTGGGCTGTAGTTCTACCCAAAACACACCTGCCAAAAGGCTTGCAATCTGCTTGACTTGCCCTTCTCCTGAGCATGCCACCACACCCAGCAGGTTCTTTCTTCGGGCACCACACTGCTCGTCCCCACACCAGGGTGGGAGCAAGCACTCACTGGAAACAAGTCAAGACAATAAGGTTGTACACAGAGAGGGAGGGAACCAGGCAGGGAATGTCCCGGGTGCTGAGGATAAGGACTCCTCACCTCGAGTCTGTGGTCTCCGTCCCACCACAGTTCGGGAGAGGGCAAATCTCACTTTACGGGTGGCGGTGCCAGCCATGACTTACACCAGTCCATCCAAGGCCAAAGTAAAAAGAAAGCAACCCACAAGGCTCACTCTGACCAAGTGACAGGACAGCTACTCTTTACAGAGACCCACCGGGTCCTCATCCTCAACCAGATGATGGACATGTACAAAAATCTACAGCCAATATCACATCATACTTAACTGTAAGAAGCTAGAAGCTTTCTCACTAAGATCAGTTACAAGGCAAGGCTATCTACCCTCTCTCACCACTCCTTTTCAACATTGTACTGAAAGTCCTGCTAATGCTTCCAGCTAGGAATGGCCCTGTGACCAAATTCTGGCCAATACGATATAGCCAGAGGTGATGTATGCAATTTCCGGGGAGTTTCTGATAAAGGGAATGAAATGTGTTCTTCTGCCCTTTCCTTCTTCCTGTTGGCTGGAATACAGACGTGATGGGTAGAACTGGAGCAGCCATCTTGGGCCATAAGACAGAAGCAACACCCTGAGTTGGGCAAAGCAATAAAACAGGAGTTTCTTGGGCCCTTGATGAACCTGGACCTTTTAGATCATCTCTAGACTGCTTCTTTTTATATGAAACACATGTAAACTTTTCTTTTATTCAAGGCAATAATATTATTTGGAGTTTTTTGACACTTGCAGCTTAACCTACTTTAATCAAGATACTGGCTTTATTTACTTCACCAAAAGTGCCAACCTTCTTTCCGCTGAAGCCTCCACAAGGTTTCCTCCAGCAACACTTTCCCCACCATTCCTGTACCTTCCCCTGCCATGGTGAAGCGAACTACTACTCATTCTTCAGATCACTCGAGGAAGCTTCTTTTACCTCTTTTACTACATTAGGTATGTATTTTTGATACTCTCATAGTACTCAATATTTCTCATGTGGCTATACTTTATAATTATTTGTTTAATAATAACATTTGTTTAATAATAATGTCTGCATATACCCAAAACTGCCAATGCCTCAAGAGAATGTCACCCGATCACTCTGCTTACGGCTTTACTCCTTACCTCAGCATGGTGTCCAGCACACCGCATGCACTCAGATGGTCATGAGGGAAGGGTGGTAGGAGAGCAAAGGGGGAAGAGCCAGGAGGTGACCCATGCTCAAAGGCTTTCATGCCAATAGGAAACTCTATCCTAGAGTTCTTTCTTTCACTCTACCTACTAGCCAAAGCTTCACTCTTGTACTAAAAGGGAAAAAAATCAATCATGAAATAAAGCAGGTGGCATTTTGGGTTGCTAAGAATCAAGCTCTGGTTGGGGCTTCCCCACCCTCAAATGTCACAGAAGACAGAAACCCAAAGCTGTTTTGTCCTCTCATCCCCAACACCCTGTCAAGGCTCCTTTCTCCTGGTGACACAACAATCCTGTCTCTCCCCTTAGCACACTATGCCCCCAGCTGCATCCCGCCACCTGCTGGGTCAGCCCCAAGCCTTCCTGCCCCTCCCCTCATGGCCTCAGCCCACCTCCATGAACCAGTCTGCCACCCTTCCCCATTTACCTCAATGGCTTCTTCCACAGTCTCCCCACACAATACCAGACCCCTCTCCAGTTAAAAAAATTTCCACTTGGGAACAAGGTGACCCACCCACTCCCAGCCTCTACCACACGTGTTTGAGGTAGCAAGGTGGCCATGAATCTCACTTGACCACCATGGGGCCCAAGGGCAGCGCCTCACAGCCACAAACATGCTCCGAAACCCTGCCTGACTCATCTGCTCACTTTGTGGTGACCTACGAGCTCTGGAGCTGCTAGTTCAGGCTCTCACAGACAGCCTCGGAAGGCTGGGAGTTACTCTTGTGGCCACGCCTGGAAACCCACAGCCCTTCCTTCCCTGAGCAGCCTCTTCCCCACAGTCAACAGCAAGTGAGCAACACGCTCTGCCAACAATGCTCATCAGCACGGCCAAAGCTCCTCTGCCACCACAGTAAGGACAAACCGGGCCACTGGTGACATGGCAAGAAATGCTGACTGGGAGCAGCAGTACCATAAACACATACTCCTGTTAATCTCACACCATGCCTTCTAACGGAAAGGCACTTTACAGAGACTTTACTCTCTGAAGCCTCACAGAGACTGTAAAGTGGGCGGAACAGATATCTTTCCCATTATAAGTAAATTGTTGCAAGCCACAGAGCTGGGTGCGCATTTGCAGGAAGTGCTTCCTGACAGTTGTGCACGTCCAGAGACATTCCTCACTGTTGCCTCCCACTTTGGATACTCTCATTTCTTCTGGGCATCTAGGACATGCCCTGTCCAGGATTCTTTGGTAGTTAGTTCGCAGACTAACTTTTTCCTTGCTCTCAAAGCCTGAGCTGAGTTTCTCCTTCTCCACTGATACTCAAGCAATCTGACCTCGAGATCTTGAGTATTATTTTTTTGACCTGCTCTCCTG